GAAGTCTATAAAATCCAATAGAGAAAAAAACACACTCATATTACAATAAGACTGATGAAAAACAGATAAAAAGAAAATCATAAAATCAGGCAGAGTAACAATACCAAGTAACAATGATGGAAGACTTATCATCACAAACAAGGAGGCCAAGGAGACATGGAATATCTTTACGGAAATGAAATGTTGTCAGCCCCAACCTCTATATCCAAGAAACATATTCTTCATAAATGAAGATGAAATAAGCTATGAGAAAGAGAGAGAAGAGAGAGAGAGAGAGAGAGAGAGAGAGAGAGAGAGAGAGAGAGAGAAACTCTCCATTGAAAAGACTTATCCAAACAATATTTCCCTTCAGACTGAAGGAAAATCTAATCTAAAGAACAAAGAAAGAACTTTAGAAATGGGGAAAATCCAGACAAATATAAAATAGTATATTTAAGTTGCTTAAATATGTTTGACTATTTAAAACAAAAATTACACTGACGTTTTATGAAATATAAGTGCTTATAGATGTTACTCATGTAACAGTGAAAATGAAATACAGCAGTAGAGGCTGTGTTTACCATGTATGAGTCCCTGGGTTGGATTCCCAGCACCATCAAATAAAACAAAAAAAGGTTGGAGGTATAACTCATTGGTAGAGATTCAGTTTAGCATGAGTTCAGGTTACAGCAAGATGGCTGGCTATGAAAGAGAAAATGCACCACTACCAGCTACCAAATATTGAACTTCAGAAATGTGTTAATATTGAACCTCAGAAGCTATCAAACTGTGAGATATAAAAACATCTATTATTTATAAATCACCTAGTTTGTGGTATTCTGTTATAGCAGCCCAAACAAACTAAGAGTACTTGTTCTACTTTCATGTTGTAGAATTATAAGAAGGTAGACAGTGGTGACAGCAAATTGGCAAAAATAAGAGGTACCTATCTTCACTAACCCCACAGAACACCTTAATATAAACCCTCAAAATTGGGAATAAGTCTGAGTCACCAATGTGGTTCACGGAATGGGTAACAATAAATTATATTTAAAAAGATAAGAAAAATTGTCTGGCTTTGGACCCTCTTATCTCTACCTCTCTCCCAGGTCAGCATAGTATCATACAGAGATGCTTCCCTTGGGACAAGTCTCTATAGAGGGAAAACAACCAGAGGTGAACATCAGCTTCCCCAGCATCACAAGATGCTTCCTAGGAATTCTACTCTGGTTTCATCACATGGGGAATGCAGGGGAAAATGACACAGCCAAACTAGCTGGGGCCAGGTATAAACAAAGCAAGGAGACAGAGACCCCAGCAACTAGCAGGCAGATCTTGGCAGTAACTCTGTGTACCTGATAGGGGTAGCACCGAAACAGAGGTATCATCTAACAATACAGTCCTGAAAACTTGTGCTGGTTGTTCCCAAAGCGGTAGAAGTCCACCTGGCTTGAACCCCTACATGGTTAACTTCCAGAAGCAGCCTTGATTTAACTCAAGGTCTCACTAAGAGCAGAAGACAATCACTGTAGTGAATTACAGCAAAGAGCAGTGGCTAGCTCTGTAGTACTTGGGAGTTTAAAAATGCATTCAGTCAAGCCTCAAAATGTGCACCAAGGACTAACTGAGGTATGGATGCAAACCTCAATTATTTATTTCTATTGAACACAGCAGCTGGTCCCACTTATCCTGATCAACCATTCCACCTAAAACCAGGGCCCTCATATAACCCTTTCCAATTGCTAAACAAAACTAGTGGTGTCATCTGGCCAGAGAACATACCCTGTGGCCTGGCCCTATCTGAAGTGATTGCAATGTACATCCAACAGCCCACTTTGATTGGAGAGTCTAAACAGCTGCCTGAGCTGATCTGAGAGCAAAGGCAGCAACATAGCCATCTAGAAGGCTGAAAGTAAGCTCTGCCTGCCCAGGATCATTACCAGCTAGCCCATCTAGAATCACAAGCTAGACTAAACAGTGAAGGTTTACCCCTGCCAAAAAAACATTGTAAAAGCTGAAAAACATGGCTGTCTTCTCAAATGCACAAACACCAATGCAAGAACACATATTACAAGGACTCAGGAAAATGTGACACCTTCAAAAAACAAAAAACAAAAAAAAAAAAAAAAGAAAGAAAAGAAAAACTAACAAAGTTCTAACAATGCATCCTAAAGAAAGGGAAATCTATGAAATGATAGGAAAAATTTTCAGAATAATTTTCTTAAAATTCAATTAACTATATAAGAATATACAGATAAAAATTTAAATAAGATTTAGAAAACACACAAACAAGACAGTTTGAAAAAGAAAGAGAAAATTTACAAAGCAAACCTAAGAGGTGAATAATACAATGATAAACTCTAAAATGCAACAGGGAGCTACACAGCCGGCACAACTGAACTGAAGAATCAATCAGTGAATTTGAACACATTTTCAACCATCAAATCATAGGAGCAAAAGAAGAAAGAAGAAATCCTGCAGGAGTTAAGGGACTCAATCAAGAGACCTAACCAATGAAAAATAGGAATTCAAAAACAAGAGAAAGCATACTTAAAGAAATAATTGAGGGGTGGGGTTAAGATGGCAGAGTAGAGCTAGGCTTTATTTTACAGTTTCTCTGTAGCTGAAGAACAGCTACTCAAGGAACAGCAGAGATTGCAGGAAATATTGTGAAGTAGGCCTGGCTGTCACCTAATCAGGGTGGCCCAGGTAAAATGTCATTGAAAAAGGCACAGAGAAGACTGCATGGAGTGAGATTCAGATCATAGATGAGAATACAGCTGTTTTCTCCATGAGTCCAGTGAGTCTGTGACCACCTGAAAAGAGTAAGGAAACCAAACAATACATGATTGCACATGGTGACTGAGCCTCAGAAGGCCACAGTCATGTGAATGTGGTAGAGTAGATAGGACCTGCTATACCCTCTCCATCCTATAAAAGTAGGCTTCTCAGGAGGCACCCAACATCCAGATAGGTAGTGGAGATAGGCACTAGTCAGTCCCTAGGGGTCAATATAATCTGTCCAGAGTATACTCCACCSAAGAACATTTCCATCAGACTTGGCATCAGTTGTAGGAACATCCTGTTTAGAACTCCACCTTTACCCTAGGAGTAATATAATCTGTCCAAAGTAAACTCCAATTGATGGTACATGCCATTCCAAGCTACTGTGTAGTGGTGAGCAAGGAATCTTAAGAGTCATTTCAACAAATTTTGGTCCCAGGCCACTCCAGCTGGCAGCCTGGTGAGCAACATAAAAGGAAGGAGGGTTTAATAACCCTCTCTGAGGGGTGCATAGCCCAAGAGGAAAGTTGTTATAGTTTGAATACAAGGTGTCTCCCAAGCTAAAACTATTAATAACAATTGTAGTTAATACAAATTTTCAACAGATACATATTATGAAGTGATATAAATTCTAACATCAAAAACATAAAATGTAGAAAGAGGAATATTTATTAGCCAAAATATGGACAGAACTTTATAAAAAGAGAAAAAAATCCAACTAAAACAATGGGCAAGGGATCTCCTTCCCAAAAAAGGAGACACAAAAGGCCATCAAATTTATCCAAAACACCACTCATCATTAGAGAAATGCAAACTTAAACCACAATGTGGATCACTTCACAGCTGTCAGAATAGCTATGATTTTAAAAAYCAAAATAAAAAATCTGTCAGTGAGGACATAGAAAAAAGGGAACTCCTGTACACTGTTGGTGGGTATATAAATTAATACAACCAATATGGAAAACTTGTATGGATGTTCCTTGATAAAACTAAAAATAGAGCTGATGGTGTCAGTGGTGGAGTGTTTGCCTAGCAGGTACTCAGGCTTTAGCTTCAATCCCCAACACCACAAAACACAAACATCAACAAAAAAGCTAAAATGTCCTGCCACTTGGTGAAGTAAATTGTGAGTACATACTAGCTGTGTGACCTTGTGAAGTCATTTAACCTGTGTCTTTTTCCTAATGTGTAAAATATGGATAATTAGAGTACCTGCCTATAGATCATTAGGGAGATGCAAATCAAAGCCACAATGAGATAATGCTTAGGATGATGAAAATGTGAAAATAAAGGCAACTCTTGTACATTATTGGTGGGAATATAAACTGGTACAGTCATTAGGAAAACAACATGGAGGTTCTTGAACAAACAAAAACAGAACTTATATTTTGTCCAGCAATTTCACTTCTTCGATGTATCTAAAGGAAATGAACTAGTATGTAGAATAAATAGCTACACTCCTGTATTCACTGCAGCATTATTCACATTAGCCAGAATATGAGAATAAGCTAAGTGACACTGATAAATGGATAAGGAAATTATTGTACATATATGTAACGAAACATTATTAAGCCATTAAAGAAATCTTGCCATTTGCAAAAACACAGAAGAACCTGGAGAATATTATGCTAAGTGAAATAAGCCAGTTATGAAAGACAATCCCTAAAACTGGAACTCATAGAAGCAGCAGTATAACAATAGGGGTGTTATACTATAATAGCATAGGGATAGAGAAGTCTGCAAAGAAGGGTAATATTGGCTAAAGGGTATAAACTTTCAGTTATAAAGTGACTAAGTTCTGGGGACCTATTGTACAGTAAAAGATGTGCTAATATGATTCTGGTAACCATTATATAATGCATATGTATATATTAAATCACCATTCTCTACATGAACTTTGTCAATTAAATATTTTTAAATTTTAACATTGTGTGTATAAAGGGCACAGAATTATTGTTAACCTAAATTAGCTCCTGTATAAGCATTGACTATTATTTCAGAAGAGGAAATGAGTGACCTCATAAGTAACATGTTTTGAATCACAATTTTAAAACCATAAGATCACACATTTTCATAATATGCCCCTAGAAAATACTGTAACAAACTGCCACTTACAAAAACTCACTGCTCCCAGATCAAATTTCCTTAAAGGACATTTAACACAACCAGCCCACATGTGCAGACATGTATTATATATGCTTCATATACTCACACATAAAATTCCTTCTATTACTCACATTCTCATAGAGAGCTTGAAGAGTCTCCAGGTCAACCACTGAGTTGTCCAAGTTCACAACAGCTGTGGGGGAAAAAAAAGACAAAGGAACAGAATATAAATTGCCATAAGCCTGCTGTGAAAAGATATTTGGCCAGCTCAGACAATAAAGTTCATTGAAGCGGTCAGAGGGCTTATTTCAATACTTCCACTTATCCCACTCCAGAGACCATGTTTCAAGAATTTCAATGGTCCAGATGTCAAATGTTAAGGCTTTCACTTGTTCCTCACATACTAAAATGAATATGGCCCAGTCGAAGGTCAGAGAGAAGCTGTCTTTCATTGTCCATCTGAATAAATTTGAAAAATCTCTGTTAGTACCAGAAATGGATAAATCATTCCTAAAACTGCTATGTCCTAGTTTTGTACCAATAAATATTTATACTTGCCAATTTACCTAAAACCTTGCACAATGGGTAAATCTAATCACTAAACGGACAGACATGGTATAGAAAAGATAGATGTATTTCCTGTTATAATTCCTTGAATTGTTATAATCAAAGGACAATGAGGGCTGAGGTTGTGGCTCAGTGGTAGAGTGCTGGCCTAGCATATGTGAAGCACTGAGTCCGATTCTCAGCACCACATATAAATAAGTACAATAAAGATCTATTGACAACTAAAAACTATTTTTTTAAAAAAAGGACAATGATATTGGTATTGAAATTAGTGCAGATTCATCATTAAAAATCTTTTCTTAAAATACAGCAATCCATGATTCCATCAAAACCGAAGAAAGATCAGTGAAGGAGGGGAATTGTGGGGGAGGGAGGAGGGACAGAATAAGGGAACATCAGTAGAGTGAATCTGACCTAACATATGTGAATATACCTCCATGAATAATAATAATAAAAAAACTATAAATAAGCAGCAAATAGATCAAGTAGAGTACAATGAAGGAAATGGGGAGGGAGGAGGAAGAGGGAAGAGGAAATGCTGGGGACTCATGTAGAGAAAATTTTATTCCATTCTTTTATAATAATGCCAAAATGAATCCTAATGTTATGTTTAACTAAAAAGGACTAATAAAAATAAATAAAAAATTTAAAAAGCATCAAAAAATAAATAAAAACTTCCCATGATTATACAAGGAAGAAGCAGAATAGACAATCAGGAAACCAAGAATATATTCTTTAAATGCATTTCTTGGCCTGGAAGTATTGTGGTGTATTTGGGGGGTACATGTGGCCTATTACTTGGTTTAAGCATAGATTAACCAAAATCATTCTGCATTTCCCACATACACATTAGCTAGAAAGACGTTACATTTGCCCAGATGGATTTCTGCCAAGTAGCCAGGGAACCTCTTGAAGGATTAAAGATTTCCAAGAGAAAAATTATAATGTGGATAATCACAAATTGGATATATTTATTTTGATAACTGAGGCATTTTACCATGTTTCTTCTCTCAAAGCTTAAAGTACACACGAGACATTTCCCAGTTGACTCTGGCAAAATTCCAAGAAAGAATTAAGAAATAAAAGTGGGAAATGGAAGAACAGAATGGATGAGAAATCTAACCAAGGTAATTTAGCATTTCTGGGAACAGAGCCCAGATTCACCAACAATTATACCAAGTAGAATATGATACTTCCACCCTAATAATAAGCCACTATCTCAATATAAAAAGTAGGCCTCCAATATAAATATAAGAATTTACAATTCTCATACGAATCTTCTTATTCCTTAGACCTTGTCAGGCATAGCACAAACTGTTTAATGTTTCAATGTAGCAAATATCTAGTCCAACTAAATGTGACTATACTTGAAAACTTAAAGAGATTAACTAGTAATTTTTGTTGAGGAAATATATAACAAAATGCAAAACAAAACAAAACAAAGCTAATAAAGACAGCAAACTCATGTATGGAATTATCTTCTCTAGATTTATGCAGGGTCTACAGCTAAAAAAAATGCTAAGTGAAACAAAATTTCTGGCTTGAGAATTCATTATCTATGTAATAGTCCAGTAATTTTCTGTATTCCTTTAGTGACATAGTGAGAGATTGGTTGGAAAATAATGAAGGAAATGTCAATGGTCAATTTAGTTTAAGATTTCATCCTTAGAACATGGAAAAACTACACAACAAAATCATTCATATTTAAACAAAACTCATAAAAGATATGTTTGTCATTGGACTATCCATCATTTTTAAAAACATACTATTATCACTACAAGTTTTCTGCACATTAAACTTGTAAAAATGCTGAGATTTCATATCTTTTTCTCTCATGAAATGTTATGTACCTACAAAAAAAAATTTTAAATGTCATATGTTCCTAAACGACTTTTCAAAAAATCCTAACCCATGAAACTTCATTTTTTATTTATGCACAGAAAATCTCACTGGAGATTTTTCCACACAATTACTATTTCTCCACACAATTTTCTCTTAGTTTGCTTCATATTTGAGAGATGTTAACTCAATTCCAATAGGCATCAGCAGTGTTAAGGATACAATATAGTCATCCTTATATAGCTGAAAAGAAAGGAAAATTAGCWTCCCAGAGATGAATAGACACAGAAATGGGAGTTCTAGGAAGGAAACAGATAAAAATATGTAATTTGAGAAAGATTAAGGTTATTGAAGTGCCAGACTTCCCCAATTTAAAAAGCATCTGTGAACATTTCAGAATACAGGACATAGATTAAAATTAATGTTACTAGATTTTTAGTAATGTCTTCTACTGCTCCCCCCCCCTTAAACCTGTGATTAGGTAGGTGGTGCATTTTCAATTGAGAATTAAGAATACATTTATCATCTCAAAGTTCTTTGTAGGTCAGCTTTAAAATGAAGGAAATTAGATAATGCATTCACCAAAGTTTTCAGCAAATGTCAAGTGTTTCCTATACATCAAGGATTATACTAGTTTACTAGAAATGTTAACAGTTAATTGCAAAATAATAAGTTGAGATTAGAGCTATGGGGTGGGAATGTGCTTAATTTTCAAGTCCTGAAAGTCTGCAGACAGCTGAGGAAAATTCCAATCAGATTTCTAGTTACAATCACACTAATGGAAAAAATACATATATACATATACACATATACACACACACACACATACACATATATATGGTTGGAGGTGCAGGTTTTGCTCACCTCTCACATGAGAGGCCCTGGGTTAAATCCCCAGCAAACCTACCACCACCACACACAAAATAAACAAACACACACACACACACACACACACACACACACACAAATATAAAAGGTGGTAAAAGATTCAAATAATTCTCATTTCCAGGTCCAAAATTTCAGCCTGGTTTAGGGAGTTAAACATCTGAGTATTGCAATTATATCAAGATACTAATGGCTCAAAAAGGAATACTATTTCTATGAGGTATAGTTCACTGATGTAAAAAGAATGTAGAACATAGAATTGAACTAAACTGTGTTTAAATTTAATTTTTTTTTTGCTGCTACATTACTTCAAATAAGTTATTTAATAATTTTTAGATTGTGTATTGGGGGGTGAATAACAGAAAACATTAGCAAAGTTTTGATCTTGGGTATTCATGGCAACCAAAGGCAATAACAATAATAAAAAGTCTGGTGTGTGGTTGGCTAATTTCTTTTTTCATGTGAAATGTTTTTCACCCAACTTCAACTCTTAGGAGATCCTCTGGACTCTAATAAGCCTTATTACCAAATTCAAAGTTGAACAATTTTCTGTTTATTTCTAGTTGTGTTTTAGTTCCCTCATGGATCAAAGAGAAAAAAAAATCCAACTGTTTCTAGTGAGGGATGCACTTTTACCTGAATGATAAAATATTAGAACCAAATGTACAACCTGACATATGGCTGTTGGGTGTTGTTCACTATACACTACCATGTAATTATCAAGCCTTGAAACTATTAAGTGAAGACTAGACTTTAGAACATAAATAAGCCTGGAATTCAGGATATTCAGTGATATTTAATTCAGATTATTTTATCCTCTAATATTCAACAAAGTGCTACTGTGATTATAGTTCAGATTAGAAGCCACATCTATTTCACATCTATTTCCTTCTCATTAAAACATTTCAGGAACACCCATCATTGTCTCGGTGTTACGTCATTGCCACTTCTTCTCAGCCTACAAACAAGTCCATAATTTGCTTTTAATTATTTTTCAAATATATATGCATAAATGTATATTATATATTTATATACATTCAGATTTAACCAGGAAGCAGGAAGCATCTGTTCTGTTTTTATATAGAAGGGTGCAAGAAAACAGGAGGCATTAAAAGGTAACATTGGCCCTTTATGCACATTAAGAGTATTCATTTCTCAAATTCGCTAATTAAAATTAGTAGAGGAGTTAACCTCTTCTTTAAGCAGCTTATAAATTACCATGTGTTAATAATCACTCCAGACTAAGATGGATAGAAATTTTATTTTTAGCCTAAAATTTTATAAAATACTGATGACGTGATAAATGTTGAGAAATAGAACACTACTCTTTCAGGTTCTCATACAACAGGCTGTGTTTCTTTAATCAAGACACTAAGCTTCTCTGAGACTTTCTTARGTGAGATATAACTTTTGTTTATAGCATATGTTTATCATATGGAGAAAATAGATAGTTATTGAGAGAAGCATAATTCAAAAAGCCTTAGCATCATTTGTATAATTAAGTTTAAAATGTGTATTATTTTTTAATACACTGGTTAGAAACTAGAGTCAGAACCGGAAATGTGCTAGATTAAAATTAGGTTCAGGATTAAACATTTGCTTTTAAAAATCAAAAGTGAAGTGCAAAAATAGCTCTTCCCTTCATGAACTCCACAGGCATGAGTTCAGTAAGACCCAAAGCCATTATTATTAAACAATAGTGGTATAAAAGGAAGAGTGAAAAAGTTCATTTTGGAACTTGAATAGTTAACCTAAAATATAAAATATGCCTCAAAATAAAATGTCCAATAGAAAAAAATCCCTTTTTTCTTAATGTTAAGATATTATAGGATATAAAATGAATTAAGGAAAGAGCAATTAAAAGCAACCAAGAACTATAGATCAAGGTAGGAAATAATATTG